GGGGGGGGGGGGGGTGAGGGAGGGAAGAGGCAATTAGTCATATGTTTAAGACTCAAGTTATAGTTAACAAAAGCTATGGTTTTATGAGCATGGAAATTGGAAACTACAAACTTCTGAGCAAAACAAAAAAATAGATACCTTGTGTAAATGGAAACTAACATCTCCAATTTGGACTAAAAGGTCACTAGGAATATCAGCTGCAACATACCTATTTACAGGACAAAGACATCAAACATTTCACAAAGCTTATACCCTTTTGAGATTTAGTCATTCTAACTACTAGGAGAGGGAGAGGGAGAGAGAGAGAGTTTTTCAAAACATGAGCAAGAAGTTAAGTTCAGCAACCAAGCTCGAGGTTTTTTGCTAGTTCAATTGGAATCGATTTTGAGTATGCTGAAATTAAAACTCGATTTTGAGTATGCTGAAATTTAAACTCGACTCGATTAACACCCTTAATTCTTAATTTCACAAGTCTACAATTTTTCAGGCAAAAATTAAATATCTTTTTTTTTTTTTTGGTGCAATTCAATCTGTATCAAGGTACTAAAATAATGAGACAGACTTTCTTGAAGAGTACATGAAAATTCATATTTTGCACATTCTCTCTCCCTCACACACACACACATACCAGGACTGGCCTCTTTGCTCAAACCCATCAGTCTCGACCCCATGCTTGGTGGTAGTAAGGACTCCATTGCCGTAATCTCTCCCTCCAACTGACTCGTTCTCAGATTCCCACATGATGATAATCAAAAACTCTGAAAACTCAGAGCAAGGTTTCTCAGGGCAGTGACTCTAGTTCAAAGAAAGAGCAGAAGGGAATGAACAGAGAGAATAAAGCGGAACAAGCAGAACAGAGAGAAACCCACATGCTGATGCTTGGAATTATCCCTAATTGTCGGCTTCTCACGAGTTTTCAAGACCGCTTACAGGCTGTGAAGTCATGGGCATACAAGTACTGTTCTTGGATCACTTCACTTGTATTTCTTTTCTTTTAACTCTTTGTCAAAACACCGTCTTTTTCATTTACTTACCCAAACAAACTCTGAAATTCAGATACTTTATCTGTGTGTGAATGAGAGATTCAGTTCCTTCTCTTTTAGCTTCCTTTTTTACCTTCCCTTTTCTGTATTTGTTACTGTAGAGCGAGTGGGAGTGCAAAGGTTGTTTTCCATTCGGATTTGGGCATCAAGGGTTTGAGTCGTAATTCAAGTGCAAGGTTAGGTTACATATAGTCCACCCTTCTCAAATCCTGCAAAATATCGTATACTAGACTTTCTTTTACATTTTAATTACCGTGAATAGAATTGTTGTAATAGTAGTGTGATATCTACGATTGATTTTTTTGTATCTCTCTACAGACGGGGCTTTGTATACATATACCACTTTTAATCTTATCGTAATTCCAAAATATTTCCCGGAAAAGTGCATATTATTTTCACTCTTGGAGGTGAAGGAGGTTTTCAAGTTTAAGTCAACATTAATTAAAGTGGTACAGCTAAGTATGGAGCATGGAAAATATTTGGTATATTTAGATTGTATTTCAAAAAATAATATTCGAAAATAATATTTAGGCAGAGTTTTACAGAAGTGATGTTTCTGATGAATTTGGTTTCTTTTCTATGACAATATCTCCAGTCAGTTGAAGTGTTTCTTTTAATGTGGAAGGCAGAAAATAAAAGGGCACTCCATAGAAGGAGGATCCACCATGATGTGGGATCTGTATGATCAGTTAAATGTCTCAAACTTCTTGTCAATCTGATGTTTTCAAACCATTGGATAAGGTGCAAAGTTTGGTGTGTATCTGTCTTCTGTTTCACTAACCCAATAATTGACAAAAATAAATTTAGGAATTAATACGGAAATAAAAATATAGGCCTTGAAGTAACGGTAAAATTATTTTATTATGACTTAAGTATCAAGAATTTGAGTTTCAGAAAAATTCTCTTAAGATTATGTACATCAGACTCTCTCCAAACCTTACCGCCCTAGAAGTCTCGTGCATTGGACCACCCAAAAATGTTAAGCAAGGATTAAAATTCACTCCGGTAGTAAATTCTCTCGATGCTAGATCATCCTTTTTGTATCGGTGAGAGGTCCACTTAAGTATTGTGAATTCTACTTAGATTCAGGATAGGTAATACCGATTAAATTGAGGAAATCTAACACTGAGTTTGAGAAATTGGTTTTCTTTGATTTGCATCTCAAAAAATAGTAATCAAAAATAATTTTTGGTAAGAGTTTTAAAAAAGTGTGTTTTGGCGTTCTTTTTATCGCAGAAATTGTTTGATTATATGATTTCAAAACCAGTTTTACGAAATAAAAAATAATAAAATTTGTTTGAACAGTTGTAACTTAGAAAATAATTAAAACAAAAAAGTTGTAGCGGTATTTTCTAAATTCTAGAAAAATTGTTTCAAAAAATACATAAACCAGCACGTTCTGTCCAATTTTTGTTCTCAATTTTTTTTAAAAAAAACAAAAATAAAAAACTGCTAGTTACCCAATTTTTCTCCCAAAAAACTATTTTCAAAAAACTGACAAACAGAAAAACAGTTTACAAATTAAACACGGCCTAGTTTAAAAGCCTTTACTGCAGATGGAGTACAAAATTGTACAAAGGCATATGCTGCTCAATAATGCTAGAATTTGGCATATGGTCCCATGCTTTTTCTGAAATGTCAGTGTAATAAGTAGTGACATTAGGAGTTCATGAACACTTTACCTTCAATGGAGTTTGCCATAAGCACAGTGAGAATTGATGAGGCTTGTCCACCACCATGTCATGGCACTAGCTGTGTATTAATGCCAATTTGCCCTTTCTTTAAAGGCTGTTCATATCTTTGTCCAATCAGCTACATTCCTCTGGTGCAAGACTTTTCCCTGTCAAAAGATACTACATATGATTGTCTGGCTTGATTTGATCATCCACAGGCTATACTACTGGTAAAAATCAAACAACAATGTGACACACCCCATTTTTCTCTTTTTTGTATAATACGTCACTTTAACATAAACCATTAGATTAATGAATTCCGTTGAATATTTAAAAGTTAAGATCATGCTACCTTAGGTGGTGTAAACAAGACAATTCACAAAAGTGATGNTCACTATTGTACGTCACTTTAACATAAACCATTAGATTAATGAATTCCGTTGAATATTTAAAAGTNTAATACGTCACTTTAACATAAACCATTAGATTAATGAATTCCGTTGAATATTTAAAAGTTAAGATCATGCTACCTTAGGTGGTGTAAACAAGACAATTCACAAAAGTGATGCACATATCGTTGTTGAAAACGAAATATGCTTTTTAATCGAGTGGCAATAAGTTAGGTTAAACACAATTTATACAAAATACCTAATAAGAAGCCGACTATATACAACCTGTCTTAAAGGTTGTTGATAGCTTTGTCCACTAAGCTACATTCCTATAGAGCAGGGCTTTACTCTGTCTAAAGATACTTTGAACAATTGTCTGGCTTGATTTGATGAATGAGAAGTCATATAATTGGCAAGAAATCAGAACCCACCTAATCTATTATTAGAGAGACCCTTTTTGGGGACTAATGAATGAAGTTGGGATTGGGCAAAGAGCAAAATTTGCAATAACACATCTCTTCTACCAGACAATGATAGAGATAAGGAAGGTGGGGCCCAATTTGATGGCTCTAGAGGATGAGAGAAGATGGTTGGTTCCCATCCTCAATCAAGCTCATATGATAGATTTTGTTTTCGACCTTATTTAAAGGAGTCGTCGAAAATGGAGAGAGAAGACTGTATTTTGTCAAAGAATTATTTTTGGTTAATTTTAAGGATAACTCAAATGAAGATAGATGTGAGTTGTAAATTTAAACGTTTTAAATTAGAATTTTGTTAATGAAGGAATACTGTATTTCGACATAAATGATCTGTCTTTAATAAAATTGAAGAAGAAATTAATCAAGACGTACGTGAGCCGGTCCAGTCCGAACATATTGAAAAAAGGGGGTTATTTGTTTGTCAAATAACAAAAAAGGAGACAAATAATGAATGGAAAGCTCATCTATCAAACTAAGGATCAATACTGGGTCGGGCCTACCCGACCTATCAGCCAATGACCCGTGGTGGTTTGTGGGTCGAATTATCAAATCATTGAGTAGTCAATGGATCTAACTGTGTCCATTTGCTTAGAAAAATGTGGCCAACAATTATATATTAGACCAACCCTAACTATAGAATCTGAAAAAAGCATTTGCCTTAGAGTTATGCTATACTTACCAAAATTTTTACCAAAAAGTGATTTTACCAAATGAATTGACAACTTTATATCTAATCGAAAACATTTTGATCAGCATTTGGTGGATCCAAGAGTGATATGAAACTATCAACTCATTTGATAAAAATACTTTTTAGTAAAAATTTTGGATTGCATAGTATTTCCCTTTCGCCTTATATTTAAGCTGCTTTATGTATTGCTTATAGAATCTTAATAATTAATGGAATTAAAAAAACAGAATTTGCATAAAAAACTTTATTTTTCTAATGGATAATGCGTCATTGCAGGGGTTAGTCGATCATAATTAAATTTATCGAGTCATAATTGCTTACATAGTAAAACTAAGGGAGGATAATTAAATTTGACACAAAATTGATATATATTTGAAATTACGAGGATCCAAAAACTTCAAATAGAATTCTGATTCAGAATGCACAACCTGGTGAAAAATGAGTCGAAATACAATGTATGAGGATGAATAAGTCCGATATAAATTTGAAATAACTAATCCGGCAAGATGCTTTGGGTGGTACAAAGGACCACAGACAAGAAGTGGTGATGACACCCAAAAGAAAGCCAAGTACTAAATAGGGCATGGCAGAACTTGCAAGATTGCGACGATTCATGGGAGGATTGTTGTAAAAGCTGGGAAGTTCAAGCTATCATCAAATGATTTTTGAGGACCAGAATTCCTTTAGGTACTAGATCATCTCAATTAGTTCTCTAGTACTGACTGTACATTATTTGGGGATCTATATATTTTAATATCATAATTCGAGATTCTAAGATTTATGGTGATATAAAATTGAGGAAATCAAGAAAATTCAAACCTACTGTTTGGAGTTGCTTAAATAATTTCCTTGTGTGGTTTTTGCTAACATTGGCGTGAGTCATGTTAATAGTGTTCGTGTCGTCACAATAGTTGCTCAGCCCATATTAAATTTTAGTGTATAGTTAGGTTTGTGTCTCATTGAATTCATATCGTATACAACTCATATATACTCGTATATAGTTCCCATTGTGTTTATTTATAATGATAAGAGATTTAAGTCCGGTCCTCTCCAAATCCAAAAACCTCTTTGGGTTCATGTAAGACGATCCAAGTGTCTCATCCAGAAAGCATTTATTGGGTATGAATTGGACCACAATCCATTTCCATAAAAACCCATAATAATCCAGCTCGAAATAAATNGTTAAGATCATGCTACCTTAGGTGGTGTAAACAAGACAATTCACAAAAGTGATGCACATATCGTTGTTGAAAACGAAATATGCTTTTTAATCGAGTGGCAATAAGTTAGGTTAAACACAATTTATACAAAATACCTAATAAGAAGCCGACTATATACAACCTGTCTTAAAGGTTGTTGATAGCTTTGTCCACTAAGCTACATTCCTATAGAGCAGGGCTTTTCTCTGTCTAAAGATACTTTGAACAATTGTCTGGCTTGATTTGATGAATGAGAAGTCATATAATTGGCAAGAAATCAGAACCCACCTAATCTATTATTAGAGAGACCCTTTTTGGGGACTAATGAATGAAGTTGGGATTGGGCAAAGAGCAAAATTTGCAATAACACATCTCTTCTACCAGACAATGATAGAGATAAGGAAGGTGGGGCCCAATTTGATGGCTCTAGAGGATGAGAGAAGATGGTTGGTTCCCATCCTCAATCAAGCTCATATGATAGATTTTGTTTTCGACCTTATTTAAAGGAGTCGTCGAAAATGGAGAGAGAAGACTGTATTTTGTCAAAGAATTATTTTTGGTTAATTTTAAGGATAACTCAAATGAAGATAGATGTGAGTTGTAAATTTAAACGTTTTAAATTAGAATTTTGTTAATGAAGGAATACTGTATTTCGACATAAATGATCTGTCTTTAATAAAATTGAAGAAGAAATTAATCAAGACGTACGTGAGCCGGTCCAGTCCGAACATATTGAAAAAAGGGGGTTATTTGTTTGTCAAATAACAAAAAAGGAGAC